AAGTGGGGTTTCCAAAGCAAGAGACGTTCAAAGGTGGTTTGCCACTGCCTGCCTCTGTTGCATCACGACCCTGGTATTCCGTGGAGGTCTCCCATTCAAATGCTGGCCGGGGCTGACCCTGCTTATCTTCCGAGATCTGACGAGATCAGGCTTGCCTGGGCGATCCAGGTCAGGGCCACACAAGGGCATTCTTGGCTTCAGAAAAGCCACACTAACGGCCAAATCACGGGTGATCAGCAGACAGTATTTGATCAGGAGCACATCTAGTAAACGTACAGGGTTCCACAGATTTGGGGAGGGATTTAAATTTCGTGGCGGGTTCTCTTGCTAGCCCGGCACCAGCTGTAAAAGTCTAGGAATATGGGGGGGGGGGGCTCCCCGGAAATACGCTGCGAACTAAGAGGGTCAAGCTAACAACTATATTATATTAAAAATATACAGATGTTTATTAGGGTGTGTAAAGGTAAAGGTTTCCCTTGCTTGAAAGCCAGTCGAATCCGACTCTAGGGTTGTGGTGCTCATCTCCGTTTCAAAGCCGAAGAGCCAGCGCTGTCTGAAGACGTTTCCGTGGTCATGTGGCCGGTATGACTAAACACCAAGGCGCACGGAACACTGTTACCTTCCCACCAAAGTGGTCCCTATTTATCTACTTGCAATTTCTTGCTTTCGAACTGGTAGGTTGGCAGGAGCTGGAACTAGAGACAGGAGCTCACTCCTTCATGCGGCACACTCAGGTCTCGAACTGCTGAACTACCGACCTTCCACAGCCTGCAGTTCAGCGTCTTAACCACTTGAGCCACCGCAGCTCCTTTATTAGGGTGTAAGGTAAAGGTTCCCTTGCTCGAAAGCCAGTAGCTAAAACATACTGTGGTTAAAAGAAATCGTCTGTCTCAGACTTAAAAGGTTTATACAACCAAGTTAGCTATTATACAAATACAATTGATGGGTAAAACCTTTTGACCTAAGGACCATATGCGTTTCGGCCCCTTCAGGCCTTCCTCAGTGGTCAGTATTTTTTATTTGCCAATTTGGTGTAGTGGTTAAGTGCGCGGACTCTAATCTGGGAGAACCGGGTTTGATTCCCTACTCCTCCACTTGCACTTGGCTGGATTACCTTGGGCAAGCCATAGTTCTGATAAGAGCTGTCCTTGAAAAAGAGCAGTTTCTGTCAAGAGCTCTCTCAGCCCCACCTACCCTACAGGGTGTCTGTTGTGGGGAGGGGAAGGGAAAGGAGTTTGTCAGCCGCTCTGAGACACCTTTGGATAGTGAAGGGCGGGGTATAAATCCAATCTCTTCTTCTTTTTCTCTTATATTACAATGACACACATCCAGAAATACACACATAATTTTTATTTATATATATATATGCCCAGATGTTGTTTTCTGAAATTATTGAGGGAGGGGGAAAGGGGGGGGGAGACAAAAGCCTGATTGTTACATATCAATTGTATAGAGTAAATATATGTAGTAATAAATTTGCTTAAAATAAGAAATTTTGTACTGGGATTCCCTTATACGCTTTTGCAATTGCTACAAGTTTGTATAGTAGGCCATAGGAAGTAGCCGTGCCAATTCTTCAAATTGTTCTACATAAGCATAAAAAATACAATTAATACAATTTGTAAGTAGTCTAATTTTAAAGTAATTTTAGCCTAAAAAAATATCTACATTAGCCAACAAACCCGGTGTCAAAGATTCCATTTGTCAGGATGTGTGCCCCTTCCATCAAAGGTATAATTTTTTTATGTCACAAAGTCTAGGAATAGACCATAGCTTTTAACTGATTTCCCTCTGCCTGGGGCAGACTCCCTCTCATGATGTTCCTGGGGGAAGGATCCCTCGTGCTGTGGCCCCCCCCCCCGAAACAGCATTTTGGGGACATCTCGGGCCACACATGACTGGAGGAAGAAGGAAGTCATGCTGCACAGAATGCAGTCTGTGAGATCCAGTCAACCATTTCTACAGTCTCTCTGTTTCTGGGCAGCAGCCGATAGGGCTTTCCTCCTTCCAGCAAACTGTATTAGCTAGCAGATGTTGGGTTGTCTCTCCTCCTCCTCCTCCTCCCTAGCCCCCCCCATTAAGGGCGGGGCAAAGACACACCTTCAGATTTTGCCACTCGCTGTTAACTGAGCTGACATCGACTCTTCAGCAGTACGTTGCAATAAGCTCAGCCTGAATGTGACAGGTCAGTCGCTGGTTCCTGACATCCTGTGCACCCTCTTGAAAGGAGAGTAGAGCTTGCAGCAGTTTCCCAGATGTGCAGGGGGGGGTCTGTTTGGGTGCAAAGCAACAAACCAGAGGGTCCCGTGAGCTCAGTCTTTCGGCGATCAAGCTGGTTACAGTATGCGTTGTACCCTTGCATCCTGAGTTCCTCCTTTACAACATCCCTCCCGCCTGATTGGGATATAAAGACTCCGAGGTCTTCTTTCCTGCTCATATCCGATGAAGGGAGCTTTGGCTCTCGGAAGCTGATACCCCGGGAACTTTGTCGGTCTCTACGGTGCAGCTGGACTCGAATCTGACTGTCCCGTGACAGACCAAAACAGCTACCCCAGTTGGGGGCAGTGGTTCAGTGCGCGGACTCTAATCTTTACTCGAATTTCTTTATAGTACACACAATGCAATAATATGTGCTCCATTGTCTCTACTTTTCCTGAACCACAAGGACATATCCGCTAAGAGAGCCAGTTTGGTGTCGTGGTTAAGTGTGCGGACTCTAATCTGGGAGAACCGGGTTTGATTCCCCACTCCTCCACTCACAGCTGCTGGATGACCTTGGGCAAGCCGTAGTTCTGACAAGAGCTGTCCTTGAAAGGGCAATTTCTGTCAAGAGCTCTCTCAGCCCCACCTCCCTCCCAGGGTGTCTGTTGTGGGGAGGGGAAGGGGAAGGAGATTGTCAGCCGCTCTGAGACTCCGAGTGAAGGGCAGGGTGTGAATCCAACTCCCCCCCCCCCCTCAAACTATCAGGAAAGTTGGGGAGAGTAGGATTTAGTAAAACAAGCTTAGACAGATTTATAAAATTTCCCATTAGAGCCGTGTGCCATCATTGAAGTCACTTCAGGAAACATTCAGGTCCGCTTTTCATACTGGGCCACCCCAAGTTACCTTTGAGTCCCAGCCAAGGCTCCCTCTAAGCTGTGGAGTCCTCCTGTGCGCAAAAATTCCCCTTTGTGAGCTACCAGCATTAAAGTTGTGAGCGAGCGATTTGGCTACTGCATAAAGTCAGTTTGCTCTGGAGCCCCATCCTTCCTGTGAGCCGGAGCCATCAATGTGTGAGCCGGAGGCTAAAAAGCTGTGAGCTAGCTCACATTAACGCAGCTTAGAGGGAACGCTGGTCCCCAGCGACTTAACTGAGCTTTTGTCAATGAATAACCTTCCACCCCCCAAAACACAGCATGCGTCCCTAATTTTTTGAACGGGCTTCCCAGCTTTTTGCCCCACTACAATCAAGCTTTAAAGTTTAATAATGCTGGTTATTGGAAGATGCTTTCGCCTCAAAAGGGTGATCCCATCTGTCTGCTTCAGCGCAAGAGGGTAGGATCCTAGCGCTTTCCCGGGGGTCTTTCCAGGCAGCTGTCCCGCCTGTCTTCAGTCACCTCCGGTTCGTCTCCGAGCGCCCTCCCAACATCACGCGCAAACAGCTGAACAGAGCCTCCTTTCCCCAGAACAGTCTGTGTCTTTGAATGCCAGATGCCTGGCCTAACACAATTTTCTCGACTCGTCAGCAGAAGGTGGAATCAGGTTCCGACTCGGAGTCCAAGCCGGAGTCAGAGGAGGAGGAAGACGAGGAGGACGGAGAGAACGCCAGGGCTCCGGCGCCGAAATCAGAGTCTGACTCTGACTCGGATGAGTCCGTCAAGAAGCCGTCCCGGGGACGGAAGCCAGGTAGGTCTTGTGTTTCTGTAGCCTGTGCTGTTAACTGATGTGTCTCCGAGACCGCCTCTCATGGTATGCCCCCCAAAGAGCACTGCACTTGGAGGATAAGAACCTACTGATGGTTCCTGGATCGAGACACAGCCGGCTGTCCTTGGTCTCAACCTGGTGGGACTCTGCCGAACAACATCTGTGCCCTACGGGACTTAATGCTAGGAAAAAGAGGTGCAGGAGCTCATTAGCATAACTCATTAGCATATTTGCATATGCCACACCCCCTGACATCACCGGAAGTGTGTCAGAAGGCAACACCCACCGCTCAGGCTCCACTGGACTGTTTTGGATTGCTAGCTATGGGGGGGGGGGACGTGCAGATCTGTCTTCACAGAGGAGGGAGAGCTTGTCCCTTAATAAAACCTGGTCTTAAAGGTGCCACTGGACTGTTTTGGACCGGGGGAGCTGGGTGGGGCTCTGCAACTTACCTGGCTGCTTCTTGCTCTGACTGAGGGCTGCTGGGAGCAGGGGGTGGGGCTTGTTGCATGTGCCCGCCCCCTGGGCTCTTCACTGCCGGAGCTCCGCTCCTGTGTGCTCCTGCAGGAAATGACCCCTGCTTAATGCAGTTCCACAGGGCATGCTGGGTAGAGATGTTCCG